CGATTGACTATTTCACGCGACTGTTTGGAGTTATTTGAAGCCGATGCAGATGATTTTTTGAATCGTTTTGTTACTATGGACGAAACATGGGTTCATTACTGTACAAACCGGAAACAAAACAACAATCAAAACAGTGGAGAAGACCTGGTTCACCACCCCCTAAAAAGGCTAAGTCGATTTTGTCGGCAAATAAGGTGATGGCTTCAGTATTCTGGGACTCGAAAGGTGTGATTATGATTGATTATCTTGAAAGGGGTCAGAATATAAACTCTGATTACTACTGCACCTTACTACGTCTTTTACGAGAGGAAATAAAAGAAAAACGTCGAGGAATGCTCAGAAGAAAAATCCTGTTTCATCAAGATAACGCCCGTGTTCACACGTCAGTACAGTCAGTGGCTGAAATTCACAACTGTGGCTTTGAACTGTTACCGCATCCGCCGTATTCACCTGATCTGGCACCATCAGACTTCTTTCTGTTCCCTAACCTAAAAAAGCACTTGGGAGGTCAAAGATTTTCGACAAACGACGAGGTCAAAGCAGCTGTAGACGCATATTTTGACTCTAAGGAAGAATCATTTTTTTTCAACGGTCTAAATGCTTGGAAGGGGAGGTGACAAAAGTGTATTGAACTTGATGGTGATTATGTAGAAAAATAAAAATATAACTGATTTAGTATTTGTTTATTTTCTTGGTTAGGCCGAGTACTTTTCAATCCACCCTCGTAATAACTGCAAGATATAAAGTACACCAAGTTATTTTAATGACAGATGTAAATCCATTAACCATTTAATGGCGATGTTAGAATATCTACTACCCCAACTTGACCGTGGGTGTCGTAAGAGGCGTCATAAGGAAACAAACCATCAGATAGGTAGCAGCATCTTTCTGTTATCAGAATTAAAAATATTTTTTACTAAAATTACATTTTGAATTTTTGTACTTATTTTAATTAATATAATGTTTAATATATGAAATTATCCCGTTCGGGTTTAATAGAATTTCCCCCTATAGTGCCTTTGTTCTGTAATAGTTCTAGACACATGTAAACCACGATGTTATTTTGAATACTGCCTCAAGTAGCTTGGTCTAGGGGTCGCAAATGCGATTGCTGTTCATGTTTACGAATCCCCGATCAGGACTAAAAAAAATATTTGTTATTTTTGTCAAGAAATACTCAGGAGCCATCCGAAGTCAAGAAGTTGCCGGTGTTTTAGCCATGTGCCTCGGAAAGCAAGTAAAGCAGGGGCCTCCGCCTAATCTCTCTCCTGTAGTGTTGGATTGCTGTCTCATCGGAGTATGAGAGTAAGGGAAAAGAGAGTTACACGCGCTTGTGGATACACTCGGGCACTATAATTCTGTCCCACGCAGATAGTCAGTCTCTAGTGAGATTGGCTGTAGTGACCGAATTTCGATATGGATTTTTTTTAATTATTATAAATAGTATCTTCATTGCCTTTTCAAATTATTAGTACCTACCTAAATTTTTATCTCTTAGGGTTTTTTATTTTAATTTTAAATAATTTATGTTAAATATATTTAAATATATTATAATTAGGCGCCGTTGTATTATGTAAGCCTATATATATGAAAGTTTGTAGAAACAATTTTTTTATTCCGAGCTAAGCATTTTATAATGACGTGTAGTGGTGGTCAAGAATATCACTACCACATATCTTCCCGTGGGTGTCGTAAAAGGCGACAAATGGAAACAGGCAGGAGTTGGGCAGCAGCATCTTCCTGATAATAGCCAAAATTACAATAAAAAAACTGCGGTTGCCAACCCAATCGCCAAGCGTGGCAACTATGGCAAATACCCCCCAATGATTAAAGCACCAAACAGACGGCCCCCAGTCCCCGGCGGCCCCGCTATTCCTGGATACGGTGGCGAACATGGTAACGGCGGGGCAGGGGGAGCTAAGAATCTCCGGTGGAGTTTCGGTTGCCACCTTAGACGAATCGACCTGGCAACGTACAACGCACGCACCCTGAGGACTGACGAGAAGATCGTGGAGCTGGAAGAAGAGATAGACAAGTTGCGCTGGCATGTTATAGGATTATCCGAAGTCCGAAGAGAGGAGGGAGGACACGGTAATCCTCTAATCCGGCAACTTGCTCTATCACCGGGAGGGCGACCATCTGTCCCAAGGAGGTGTCGGATTTATCCTCCACAAGTCTCTCGTTAACAACGTTGTAAAGATCGGGAGTGTGTCGACGAGGATTGCGTACCTTATACTCAGAATCACCAAACGGTATTCGCTGAAGGTCATACAGGTTTACGCACCAACCTCGGCACACCCCGATGAGGAGGTGGAGGAAATGTATGAGGATATCTCTAGAGCCATGCATTCCTCCAAAACCCAATATATGGTGTTAATGGGAGAGTTCAATGCAAAACTAGGCACAAGAGCGAACGATGAGCTGAAAGTAGGGAAATTTGGAATAGGGCAACGGAACCCAAGGGGCCAGCAGCTGGCCGCCTTCATGGAAAAAGAGGGACTCTTTATGATGGACTCTTTCTTCCAGAAGCGGCCCCACAGGAAGTGGACCTGGTCGAGCCCCGACGGTTCGACAAAAAATGAGATTGACTTCATTATGACGACCAGACGACAACTGTTCAGTGATGTCTCCGTGATCGCGAGGGTGAAAACTGGTAGCGATCACCGAATGGTTAGAGGCACACTGAACCTAAACGTTAAGTTAGAGAGGTCTCGTCTGATGAAGTCAATGCTCCGTCCCCCTCGTGCTCTGTTCCAAAGTCCTGAAACCTTTCAGCTCGAGTTACAAAACCGTTTTCAGTGCCTAGGAGACTGCAATGAAGTGGACGATATGAATGACAAGCTCGTGGAAACTGTCCATGCGGTCGGTTCTGCATGACCCGCCGCAGAAGAACACAAAAACTCTCCTATCACACTCTTAATCTCATGGCTGTTAGACGGGAGATGAAGCTACATTCTTCAACAGATTTGACCGAGCGGAACCAAGGCTCCAAAGTCTTTGCCAGAGATCTGCCTGCCAGAAAGAGCCATTTGTCAAAGCTGAAGACTGAGTGTGGCAGCATGGTTTCCGGGGCACCTGAGATTTTGAGTGTGATTGAGAGGTTCTATGGACAGCTGCACATGTCATCGTTGGAGCCACACGCAAATGTGAGTAACGATCCAAGAGCGAGTCTTATCCGACACTATTCCGAAGATATCCCGGACATCAGTTTGAGCGAGATTAAGGGTGTAAGGGGCAACGCTAAGATCTTGGAGCCCAAGCCAACCCCGCCTGCACGTGGCGCACCTGCTGTACAACGGAAAGGGCTCTAGCGATGCCACTCATCTGGGATTCGTCCTAGGGGTTCGGGGGTCAGACGGCAGTCGCCCCGGTAATTGGCACTAAGTTACTCAAAAATGTAAAGAAAAAGAAAGAGATATACGTTTAGGACTAGAGCGTCGCCGCATAACGACGCGCATGGGGATCACCTTAACACTGCGACAAGTATACGAGGGCTACCGGGCCCCGTGCGAGCCCGGCTAAAGACGTTAGTACCAACTACGAAGATTCGCTTTGCGAACTGGAACATTGGCACGCTTACGGGACGCTCCGCAGAACTTGCGGCCATACTTGCCAGGCGTACAGTTGCAGTGGCATTCCTGCAGGAGACACAGTGGAAGGCCAACAGGAGCCGGAATATTGGGCACGGCTACAAGCTGATCTATACAGACTCTTCTGGTGGGGAGAACGGTGTGGCGGTGGTGCTCGCCGAGCATTTCCACGATAAGGTCTTAGAAGTTAGACGCATATGCGACCGACTTATGGTAGTAAGGTTGCTTATTGAGGGGGTCGTGACCATCTTAATAAGTGCCCACGCCCCACAAGTCGGCTGCAGCGACGCGGATAAGACGCTGTTTTGGGATCGGCTCGGAGATGTACGCGGCATACCGTTGTCCCACGATGTCGTTTTGGGTGGCGACCTGAACGGTCATGTGGGCGAGGTGCAGGGGGAGTATGAACGTGTCCACAGTGGCAATGGTTACGGCCGAAGAAACGCAGAGGGGGAAACCATTCTCAGAACCTGCACTGCAGCTGACCTGGCCGTGGTGAATACGTTCTTCATAAAGAAAACCGAGCACCTGATTACCTACAGGAGTGGTCGAAACGCCACTCAAATCGACTACCTACTGACCAGGAGAAGTCATATCAGTCGCGTGGCTAACTGTAAGGTCATACCCGGTGAGTGTCTCACTGCCCAACACCGAATTCTTGTCATGGACCTCTGCGTAAAACCCCGTCGCAGACACGCTGAACGTTGTCACCGTCAAATCAAGTGGTGGCTGCTGGATCAAACCAGATACTCAGAGTTTGACTCTACCGCTGGGGATATTGGTCTCGACACAGCAGGCAAGTCCGTCCAAGAGTGCTGGAAAACCATTCAGCAACAAACCAAACAACCAACAGCAATCACAAAGACGGCAAAGCAAGTTCTCGGCGTAGCGCAAAGGGTGCCGCAAAATCGACAAGGAGACCTGGTGGTGGGACGCCACAGTCTAGGCTTCATTACGGCAGAAGGAAGCGCTCTTCAAGACGTGGCAAGCGACTAAATCTCCTGAAGATCGCGCATCTTACAAAACAGCGAAAAGAGCTGCCAAGAAAGCTGTAGCCAGAGCCAGGTGACCACTTGCAACCATTATATGCTAAGTTGGACACTCCTGAGGGGCACAAGCTCATACATAAACTGGCGCGCTCCAGGGCCAAAGCAGCGCAAGATTACTCGCTCTTATTTCCACGTTTTGCTGAATACTCAGCGCCGGGAAGTGCACCCTCCCGAACAACTCCCGAACCATGGACTCGTGCCACCGATTACACCTGACGAGGTCCTCGCATCTCTTCGTCAGATGGAGAATCGGAAAGCTGTCGGACCGGACAAGGAGCCAATGGAAGCGTGGTAAGCGCTGGGGGCTCGTGGTGTGTGCATTCTTACTAACCTTTATAATAGAATCCTGAGCGACCGAATAATGCCCGATCAGTGGCGGCTTAGTAAAATAACGCCGGTCCACAAGGGTAAAGGGTCCGTTCAGGATTGCCGTAATTACGGCGGTATAAAGGTGATGTCACACACCATGAAGCTCTTTGAGCGCATTATTGACACCAGGATCCGACAGGAGTGTACAGTGTCGGACTCCCAGTACGGTTTCCAACCAGGACGCGGTACCATGGACCCTATATTCGCCCTAAGAATCCTCATGGAGAAGCACAGGGAAAAGAATATGCCTCTGAATTTTTTATTCCTAGACCTGCAGAAGGCCTTTGACTGTGTTCCCAGGGAGATGATCTGGTGGGCGTTGCGGTCGAAGTTGGTACCAGAGACCTACGTGTAAATCGAACGTGACATGTACCGCAACTCCGATTCAATAGTCAAGACCGCTGTTGATGATACTACCCCCTTCCCCTTAACCTTAGGCATGCATCAGGGCTCCGTTTTAAGCCCCTATCTCTTCAGTGTGATATTAGACGAACTGTCAGCCAGCGTACAGATATTATCGCAGCCTTGGCTGCTTATGTACGCTGATTTTATCGCACTGGTAGATGGGGAATAAGGACGGCTCACCAGACGCGTGCACGCATGGAGGGAGGCGCTTGAGAACGGCGGGCTGAAGCTAATCTGACGTCTCTCCGTATAGGAGACGACACCGTCGAGCGTACGGACAACTTCAGGTACCTCGGATCTGTGCTTGATGCGTCCGGGGACATCGATCGCGATATCAAGGTCCGTATATCGGCGGCTTGGGCGAAATGACGCGAGGTGACGGGTGTAATTTGTGAGCCAAAAATGCCGGTCAAGCTGAAGGGACAGGTCTATAAGACCATCATAAGGCCTGTCCTTACGTACGGCAGTGAGGCGTGGCCGGTGCTGGAGCGACACCGGCAGTTGTTGCATGTCATGGAGATTAACATGCTGCGGTGGATGTGTGGCGTCACGCGAAAAGACCGTATACGGAATAGATACATCCGCGGCAGCCTCCATGTCGGTGACATTGCTGACAAGCTGCAGGAAAGTCGCCTCCGCTGGTACGGCCACGTCTTACGACGACCAGCAAGCTATGTGGGAAACAAATGCCTGGACATGACCCTACCTGGCACCAGGAGTAGAGGACGGCCCAAGAAACGCTGGCTTGATGTCGCGCAGGATGACATGCGCGCTAATGGACTAGTTGCGAGGGACGCCGAAGACCGGGCAAAGTGGAGGAGGAAGTGTAGGAAAGCGGACCCTGGGTTCTCCTGCGATGGGCGGGATGAGCAACCGGGATAAACGATAGGTACAAGAAGAAGAAGAAGAAGTCTGAGCGAGATTATAATGGCTCTCCAGCATCTTAAAACGGCAAGACCCCAGGCGAGGATGGAATTACAGCGGAGCTTCTGAAAGCGGGTGGAAAACCGGTACTGGAAGTCCTTCAGAGGCTCTTTAATTTCGTCCTCCTTGATGGCATTACACCGGAGGCGTGGAGCAGAAGTGCGGTAGTCTTGTCCTTCAAGAAAGGTGACAATGCTCTCTTGAAGAACTACAGACCGATTTCCCTTCTGAACCGCGTCTACGTGCTGTTTTCGAAAGTCATTAAGAATCGTCTCGCACGCAGACTTGACGACTTCCAGCCTCCCGAACAAGCCGGTTTCCGAAAGGGCTTTAGCACCATAGACCACACACATACCCTTCGGCAAGTTGTACAGAAGTCCGAGGAGTACAATTTGCCACTATGCCTGGCGTATGTGGGCTATGAGAAAGCCTTTGATTCCGTCGAAATTTGGGCGGTGCTGCAGTCCCTTCAGCGGTGCCAAGTTGACTGTCGGTATATCAAAGTGCTGAAGTGCTTGTACAGTAGGCTACGATGGCTATCCGAGTACAGAACCAGAGTACGAAACCTATCCAATTGCAGAGAGGTGTAAGACAGGGTGACGTCATATCCCCGAAACTTTTCACCGCTGCATTGGAAGACGTTTTCAAGCTTCTGGACTGGAAAGGATACGGTATTAACATCAATGGTGAGTACATCACTCACCTTCGATTTGCTGACGATATAGTCCTTATGGCAGAATCGCTGAAGAACCTAAGCACTATGCTCAATGACCTCAATAGTGTCTCCCAACGGATAGGTTTTAAGATGAACACAGACAAAACAAAGATTATGTTTAATGTCCATGTCACACCTATGCTGGTAGTTGTTGGGAGCACTAAGCTCGAAGTTGTTGACGAGAATGTGTACCTGGGACAAATAGTCCGACTAGGTAAGATTTTGACCGAGAGGTCAATTGACGGATTCAACTCGGCTGGGCAGCGTTCGGGAAGCTACGACACATTTTCTCGTCAGACATACCTCAAAACCTTAAAACGAAATTGTACAACCAGTGCGTGTTGCCAGTGATGACTTACGGAACTGAGACGTGGTCTTTCACTGCTGGCCGTATGAGGAAGCTCAAGGTCGCTCAGCGAGCTATGGAGAGGGCTATGCTCGGAGTTTCTCTGCGTGATAAACTTAGGAATGAGGATATCCGGAATAGAACTAGAGTAACCGACATAGCCCAACGAATTAGTAAGCTGAAGTGGCAGTGGGCCGGCCATATAGCTCGAAGAATCGACAACCGATGGGGAAGAAAGGTTCTTCAGTGGCAGCCTCGTACCGGTAGACGAAGTGTAGGGCGACCCCCCACGAGATGGAGTGACGACCTGGTAAGACATGCAGGAAGTCGATGGATGCAGGTGGCTCAGGACCGTGCTTTGTGGCATTCCTTGGGGGACTTATGAAAGGCTGTAATGATGATGATGATGATGATGAAGCATTTTATACATTACAATTAATGAAAGTGACCTATAACCAAAAGTATATTAGTTTTATTATTTATATTACAAGTTTTGTTCAAATTTTGGAACGCTTTAGCACGTTTGGCTTTTGGGCTCAGATATTAAATTTTAATAGCAAAATTAGTAGGAAAGCTAAAGAACTTATATCGCATGTCCCTGAAATATATTTTCTCGAAGTGTATTACATAAAAGTTAAGAACAGACACAAGCTACTAATACCAGACACGACTTCATAGAGTCAGTATTTAATGAAATGGTATTAAGCTTTTACAAGAAAATTCCAGAAAATATAAAAGGTCTGTTTATCATCAACTTTAAATTTTATTAAATAAAGACTCTACATAAATGGTTGTTGTAACATTCGTTTCATGCTGGTTCTTCAAAGGATAGAAGTTAATTTTCTATTTCTATTTTTAATGGAAGTTTCTCGCGGTGATTTAAGTTCACCGTAATTTCTGTGGTATCGAAAATCACTTGACTTGTATTGCTCACGTATAATATTTCTCCTAACCATATATTAACATTTTCGCTGTCCCGTGTATTACATAAAGGTCATTGCTATTGTCTTACTATTGTGCCTGAAAAACGAATTAAATGTATGAGGTTTTTTAAGTTCATTCCTAGATATAGATCATTGAAACCATGACCTAAATAGCATGCATATGGTCTTAAAAGGTTTACCACTGAATTCATTATGACCATACCTGTTGGGAAGCCGTAATAGCTCCAAGGCTAAGCGGACGCTGTGAATTCACCGCACGCTAGCAATCCGGGCTCGATTCACGCCGGCACTAATAAAATTGTTAATTGGAATTTAAGTGGTGATTTATCACCAGTGGTGAAGGAAAACATAGTGAGAATACTTGCATGTCTGTGCATGCTGCAGCTATATTACTGGTATAGTTGTAGCACGGAACGGTCGACTCGACCGGGGAAGGACCACGCTCTCACAGAATAACAGTACAGTAAAATAGTAGCTTAACGCTGATGTGTTTCGTATTGTGAGTGTAGGTAACCGAAGATCTTTTTTACTGAAAACGAGGTATTCCATCTTAGTTCTCACGGGTGACAAGGCATCTGCATTTTTATTCGTAATCGAAGATAGATATAGATATCTATGGGCCACAGCAACCACTTACCATCAGGTGGGCTCTGTGCCCAAGCAGCATGCAAGCTGTATACAACCTGTATTGGAGTTCTTTTTTATACTAGAGGCTGCATTTACTGGCTGTACAAAGGCTGTATAAGCGCTTATACAGCTGTTATAAGTAAAAAATTGGCACAAATTATACAGCTTTATGCGTTAGTAGCGCTGTACAGTAGCTGTACAAGCATAAAAGGGGCTGTATAATAGCTGTATTATAGCTGTTATTTGGTGTACAAGGAAACTATAACACTACAAATACTATCTTATAAGTATCTTATAAAGATAAACGTTCTAAATTGGTGTTTGAACGGTATCACAAATGAATTTATGACAAACATAACTTAATAGATTGATTCATATACTTTATTGAATGATGGCGACATTTAGTAAGTGAAAGATTATATTACATATTAATATTACTTGGATTGGAGTTGAGTTTTGATGGTGATAACTGGGGAATAGAAAGTGCAAAATTAGATTTACGGTAAACTTGTATATGATTTCTATCAAAAAATTACCGCGCCAGCAAAATAACGAAACAATATAAGGACAAAATACTAAATATGGTAAGTAAATATTGATTTTATAGGTTAGAATAAGAAAATAATTAAGTTGGTGAATATGAATGCATATTGGGGCACCGTGATCATTAGTCAAACTAAAATTAAAGGTTTAGGCTAAAACTAATGTCTCAAATTCCTAAATTTGCAATTTAAATTTTGTTTTTATAGGTCCTAAAATGGCGACAATTTGCTAAACAGCCTAAAGGATATTTCGAGGGTCTTGTAGTTTTAGTAGCTGTTCTATGTATGTTATGGATTCTATTGTACAGCCATTAGTTTTTAATCAGCTGTATAATGGAATATTTTTATTACTAACGCTGTATAGTAGTTTTTAAAACATCACAGATAATTGTCTTTAGAGATATGTATACAATATGAAAAACCTTTGTCTTAGAAACAACACTTTTATCGCTTCTTCACTTTATCTCATTTAAATAATAAATTTTAAAATGTAACAGTGTTTTAATAATTTAGTTGTTTTATTTTATGGACGAGACGAGATGGAGTGACGACCTGGTCAGACATGCAGGTAGTCGATGGATGCAGGTGGCTCAGGACCGTGCTTTGTGGCATTCCTTGGGGGAGGCCTATGTTCAGCAGTGGATTTATGAAAGGCTGTAATGATGATGATGATGATGATTTTATAGACAAGGACAAAAAAGCGCTTACTTCTTTCACTTCTTTTAAGACAGAGACTATATAAAGCCACACAGACAAAGTTAATAAATTGAAAAAATATTTTTCATTTTTGTACCAACCTTAAACCATCGATTTAATCGAAATGATTGTATTTATTGGCAATCAATTACAACC